TTTGATTTAGGTATGTTTGAAAGTTGATAAATAATTAAATTCGGACATAACACATCATAACACTTCTTTATTATGACCGGCTGTATAGGAAGGTAGATATATATATATATATAATAGTCAAGCGTACGAGTGTTCAATTGTCTATGCTAAAATTTTAAATTATATTGAACCAATTAATAATTTATCACGTTAATATTTATTAGTGGCGTCTGATGATAATAATATGATATTATATATGTTGATGAGTGTTTGTCGTCTAATATGTTATATTATATATATATATATATATATAAACCATTTCATTATTCTTCGCGTTTTGCTAGTTAATAAATCAGTTTAGTGTAATATTGATTGCATATTATTGTATAGACATTAGACGCCGCACAGAATAAAAAAAAAAAAACGCGATAAAAAGATTGTAGTCTGAGCGAGTAATTTTGATTTTCCAAAATGACCCTGTGTCGCTTTTTAAATGACATAGCTGTTATTTTATTTATTGATCGATCGCAATATGTGTGAATAATACACATGTATACGATAGGCAAACATCGCGGGGTTGAATTTGAATGAAAAAACGTGTATAGTCATGTACAACGAGTTAGTGGGACAATGAGGTTACCCAAGGCCCAAGGGCAACTATGTCGCAATCTTAGATCGAGAAAACAACAATGATTGATAGTTAAAGGATAGGTACTTAGTACTTACTATAATATAATGGCGTATAATGTATTAATTTAACGGAGACAAACTCTTGTGACGTTGTTACAGTGAAAACAAATGTGTGTACAGTACCGTATTTACAACCTGCATAAAATCTATGACATTAAAATGTCATCAGTACTCTACAGAAATATCAGGATAATCAGCAAGAGTCACTACTTCATTAGTTCATAAGGATTATTATAATTCTAACATTTTTATTGTAMATTTGAGAAGAATAGCAAAATTAAAATTTACAACGGTCAAAATCCCGAAGTTTGATTTGACATACGCTTTTTTAACTATAAAGTGAAATATATTCCGTTTGGACTTTATAGTTGATCTTATATTCAGTCTGATACACAAWTACGCTAGCCATGACATATATACGGGGTGTAACAATACTTACTATTTGACAAATAAAGTAATATATGTAATGGAAATTTGTTAAATAGTCCTGTTACACCTTATATAAAATTATTGCATTAATAAAATTATTCAGAATTTTATTAATGTTAGGGAACTCAGATTTATTTCTTAAAAATACGGGACGTATGGGATCTCATATTCGGTAAATCATCATTAAAGTGAAATTTGAAATACAATTTWAAAAAAATGCAGACTTCATTAATTTTGTATTATGATAGATAAATATAAAATAAATTTAAGGTTTGATAACAAATTATAAACATTGATGGCTTATAAAAAAAATTAATATATTTTAGGATATCGACATATTTTAATAACAATAACGGTTACACTAAACTATTTAAAGTTTAAGCAAAACAAATGTTAACTGGATACATTTTTTTTTCAAATCACAAAAATATAACAAACCTACATGTCAAATCTATTTCATTTATACCTATAGTTGTCTTAGCTAAAACGTCAAAAAAAAAAAAAAATTATTTCATTTGCGAATCCGATTAATAAGGTATATTATATTAATTTATTATGTTCCGGAACAAATTGTTAACGGGTAAAATATCTATAGTTATTATGTAGGTAACTTTCAATCTAATTGTTATGTGTTAACTAACTGTTAAATCAACTGGAGGCGAAAGAGCGGTTCAATATAATATTATAATTTATAGTCATTGATACTAATTATACACCAATAAACGATTKAATGATCTATTTAATGAACGACGGGGGGGATAGGTATTAGCTACCTAGGCAATAGGTTTTAGTAACACTTTTGGATTATTAATACTATGTACGAATTTTTCTTTCAGTTTTAATATTTGATATTATGTTAATATTTGAGCAGTAGAATGTATACGGGTGACCAGAAATGGTATTATAAATATACCAAATAAAATGCTGTTATGAAAATCAACAAAAGTTTGCACTTTTGTGCTAAAAACAAAATTTWATTTTATATTTCATACATACAACTGATGTGTAAAATGTATATGTACAATAAAAATAATATATGGGTTAAGGGTTAATTTAAAATCATAGCTACAATTTCATACTCGGTTACATATTAATGAACGCATTTAATATAAACCAATTTTTTTAATTATAATGTAGTAATAAAATAGTCCTATAGCTTATCTAAAATAAATAATTGAGTATATTTTAATATTGATTGAGTACAATGGAAAGTCAAAATTGACTATGGTCAGTTGTATTCAAAATGATTTTGTTGCTATTGAAAATATGTCGTTGACACTTGAACATTTTCATCAAATATTAATATTACATTTTTTAAACATAGTATAATTCAAAAAAAATATCTGCGTCGTCTGTGTTAGACGTGGTGCGCAACCTTTTTTGATCCACGACTCCTCAAAATGATTTATTTTGATAATACGACCTACCAACATTATGTAAGTGTATAATAAAAATTTACTAAAACAGAATTGTACAATTTAATTTAATCTAGAAAATGTA